GCAGCGCTCTAATCTCCTGGTCATCTCCCCTCAGAGGGGGACACATCCCCCCAACCCCTTCACCGCAAACAGTAAGAGACTCCCGAACAGAAGATAGTTCCTTCTCTGCTGCACTTCCCTCAATAGGTATTCAGGCCTCTGGCAGGGCGCTCACTTACCCAATTTGGGGGAGCCACTGGGCACATGGGGGACATGGCTTCCCACACTATGGACACACCAGGTCCCAGAAGAACTCTGGCAGTTCTCAACCGAGGAGTCCTTCAGCTCAGGATGACCTCACCGGCCTCGTGGGGAGGGCGCTGGTAGATCCTTGCTCACTCCAGGGTTTATGTAATATTTTCTTTCCCAATCATCCTCAAAGCCAGCCTATGACATAAGCAGATGCGCGCCTTTGTCTGTCCGGGTGACTGGCTGGCTGGCGGGTATTTCTGGAGGACTAGCGATGCGCCGGGCATTGGCACGTGTTATTCACCGAGTTACGCTCCCCGTTCTCTTGAAGTAGTATTCGCCACTGCATTTTAAAAAATAAAGATACAAAATATTTATTACCAAATTTCTCACTTTAAGTGGGTAATTCACTGGGTTTTTGTCTCTTCAGACAACAGTGCCACCATCACCACAATTTAACTCAAAACCACTTCCATCACCCCCAAAGAAACCCCATGCCCATTAGCGATCACTCCTTGTCCTCAGACCCCTCCGGGCCCAGCAGCCACTCCTCTGCTTTCTGTCTCTATGAATTTACCTCTTCTAGACATTTCATTCAAATGGAATCGTACAACGTGTGGCCTTTTGTGACTGGTCTCTTTCACTTGGCGTCCTGCCTTTGAGGTTCATCCACAGTCTATCACGAATCGGGACCTCATTCCTTTCTGTGGCTCAGTAAGATGCTGTTGTATGGTTAGACCACAATTTTTAAAATCCATTTTCTGTTGATGGGCACTTGGGTTGCTTCCATTTCTTGGTTATTGTGAATAAAGGCTGCTATAAATATTTGTGTGCAAGTTCCTGTGTGAACACGTGTTTTCAATTCTCTTAGGTGCATACGGGGGTGTGGAACTCTCACGCATGGGGCATCTCTATGTTTGAGTGTTGGAAGGCCTGCTGGTCTTGAAAGCGGTTGTGCCATCTTGAATTCCCAGGAGCCGTATCCTAGGGTTCTGATTCTTCCCTGTCATCGCCAGCACTTGTTACTGTCTGTCTTTGATGACAGGCACCCCAGGGGACATGAAGAGGTATCTCACTGTGGTTTTCATTTTGCATTTTCCTCAGACCCATTCATTTTGCGTTTTCCTGATGGCTAACGATGTTGAGCAGCTTTTTATGGGTTTATTGGGCATTTGCCTGTTTTGAAGAAATAGCTATTTGTTTCTCCTTTGCCCATTTTGTTTTATTTTTATTTTCATTATGTTTCTAGAGATTTATTTATTTATTTTTGAGAGAGAGAGAGCGCGCACACCTGAGAGAGAGAGAGAGAGAGAGAGCGGGGAGGGGGGAGGGGCAGAGGAAGAGGGAGGGGGAAACATAAGCAAACTCTGGGTTGAGCACGGAGTTCGGTCTCAGGACCCTGAGATCATGACCTGAGCCAAAACCAAGAATTGGAGCCTTAACCAACTGCACCACCCAGGTGCCCCTGCTTTATTTTTTTTAAAGATTTATTTATTTATTTGAGAGAGAGAGCACGCCTGGCCAGAGGGAGAGGGAGAGAACCTCCAGCGGACTTCCTGATGAGCACGGAGCTCGAGCTCACCACTCTGCGATCACAGCCTGAGCCGAAACCAAGAGCCGATGCCCGACCCACCGAGCCACTCAGCTGCGCCCCCCTTGGCCCATTTTAAATTTGGGTTGTCTGCCTCTTGACTGTTACATTGTGCCCCTGCTGTCCACAGGGGAAACTGAGGCTCGGAAAGGGGATGTGACTGGGCTCATAAGCTCATAAGGAGATGGAGACTGGTAACTGGTAACTGGGTTGGTGTCTAGCTCCCACCCTAGCAGGTCACAGGTCACTGTCTCTCTTCCCAGATGAGTGGCCTCCAATTCTGACCCCCCCAGTCCACCCCAGGTCTGTTCTTGCACTTAGAGCAGTAGAGCCTCACAGGCAGAGGGTGGGCCGGAAAGACAGGGGAACAGCAGTTCTGAGGAAACAAGCCAGTCCTCTTTCCCCCTCCGAATCACGAGGACCCAGCTGACGTGGCCTGGGAAGAGGGGACAGCCCGGGCCTGTGGTCGGGGAGCCTATTTATACTGGCTGGGCCGTGTTGCAAGCCCTTCCTGCTGGGGAGAGGGACGTCACTGGGCGCTGACCTCACCAGAAATGCTGACGCATCTTCCCCTCATGCTTTGCTTGGTTGGCCAGCCGGGTCTCCTCACCTTGGGGCCACTGCCTGTCCTCCTGCACATCACTATCCCCTCCCACCAAGCTCCAGGCACTCCCCCATCGTCAGCACTCCCAGCAGCCCTCCAACCACGCCCTCCTCTTGCAAGCTGTCCTGGGCAGGGTTTTATCCCTTAAATTCTTGTCTTAGTGACCGACTCCCATAGTACCTCAGAATGTGGCTGTATTTGGAGATAGGGTCCTCAGAGAGGTAAGGCACAAGGAGGCCACGGGGGTGGGCGTGGCCCATCCATTATGGCTGCTGTCCTTCTAAGAAGAGGAGATTAGGACAGACACACAGACTAGGGGTCAACCATATGAGGAGACAGCAAGAAGGCGGGCGTCTAGGAGCCAAGAGAGAGGCTGCAGGATAACATCGACCCTACTGATCGCTCAGTCTCAGACTCCTAGCTCCGGGATGGCACCAACAACCATTTCTGTTGTTTCTCCCGTCTGTGCTATGTTGTCAGGGCAGCCCGAGCAGACCAATAGCTAACTCCTCCTTGCTGTCGGTGGCCGTTGCCCCTGGGGCCTGCACACCGCACCTCGCTTTCCTGCTCAGAGCGTGGTCTTTCAGACTTGAGAGCCCCCTTGTGAACACCACGTCCTCTTAACTGCTCCCACCCAGGGTGATGCAGAAAACAGGAAAGCAAAGGCCTGTGCCTTCCCCCCACCCCGAGTGCGAAGGGCCGTCCTCAGTAGCTGAGACAGCCGAGAAGCACTCCAGCCAGCTGTGGCTCTCCAGCCCGGAGCCAGGCCCTGAGTGTCTCAGTTTCCTTGTTCAAGAGATCCGAGGCATCCCTGCCCTGGTGCTCTCTCTCTTCCAGGGCTGTTGCTGGATGAGATCAGGGATGCGAAATGAAGAAGGATCCCAGCTTGGCATGGGCCCCAGGAAACGGTCCTGCGGGGGTGGGCACAGAGATGAGGAATTGAGCAGAAGCCACGTTCTCAGGAGGAGAATCCAGAACTGGTCCTTGGGGGCGGCGATGGTAGGTGTGGTGAGCGCCATGCTGGGGTGCCAGAGAGTGGACGGGAGGTGAGGAATAGCCTCCTGGGCATGGGGGTGAGGGGGAAGAGTCTGGTTTTGCCCACTATGGGATCCTCAGCGCTTGGGAGGGCTGGCTCAGAGTAGGGCCAAATAAAAGTTCGTCGAACAAATAAATGAGTAATGGTGAACGTGTCTGCAGAGGATAGAGCAGGTGGGAGCAGCCCTGGTGGTCAGGATGGCTGTCCAACCCACCCTCTCTCCTGCCACCTCAGCTCTCCCTGTCCAGGCTCCACAGGCCCCGTGCTTTCCCTAGCTGGCAGCTTCCAGGGGTCCTACCCTGGTTCTCTGGGCTCCTGAGGCCCTCCTCCCCACTGAGCTCCTGAGGGTGCAGGCCAAAGACCCTCTTCCAAGCCAGGGAGATATGCTGGGGCTGCCTCTCAGCCTCCTTGTCTGCCCTAGGCCAGGCCTCAGTTTACCCTAACACAGTAGCAGGTTGACTAGAGAGGCATGGTCTCCACAGTGCCTTTACTCTGACATCCACTGAGGTCTGCGAGAAGCGGAAGACTAACCAAAAATCACTATCTTTCAGAGAAAGTGAAACCTGGTCCCCAATCATCACCACGGTGACTCCCCCACCCTGGCTTCCCCTCTGAGCTCACAGCTTCCCCATCTCCTCCGCCCCCCACACTAGCCCTCAGCAGCGAGTACTTGGAATTAGACTTTCATCTTTCTTTTGTCCTTCAAAGGACTTTTGCCTTTTATGTCCATGATAGCGGCAGGGCTATGAGCCTGGCCCAGGAAATGCTTTTCGAATCCTCATTTTACAGGTGGGGCTGCTGAGGCCCAGAGACATTAAGTGACTTGCCTCTGGTCACACAGCATGTTGGCAGGCTTGAACCCTAATTTCCTATGTCTCATTTCCCCCCAGAATACCCCGTCTGTAGAGAAAGGTCCTGGCTCAGGCAAGGGGTCTGGGATAAGGAAGGCTAGTTGCGAGGGGGTTGCATGATGGGAAAGAGGAGATGGCTGGGAGCCCCGGTGGTCCTGGGGCCAGAACCACAATCTCGGGTCTGCCAGCCTGGGTCTGGCTCTGTGCCCAGAGCGTGGTGGTTTCTGTTCACAGATGTCCCAACAGTCCCAGCAAGAGGGCGGGAAGGGCACTCAAGAAGGAAGATGTCTCGCTACCCTCAGCGCCAAACCACAGTGACTTGTGAGGCTGTTGGCTCCTGGGCCAAGCCTGACCTGCAGCCCTCCAAGGACCCAGTGGTCACACTCTCCCCTCTTTCCTGGGCACAGCTCCCTACAGATAGCATGGACCCCCTTGCCCCCTGCTCACCCCAGGAAGGCTGAGGCTGCAGTTTGCATCATCTTTGGGAGAGAGCCTGATCTCGAAGAATCAATTCGAAGAAAACAGGAGGAGGAGGAGGCATGCCACCGCACACAGCGCCCATTGGCCGCCCGTGGAAACTTTGGTTTTTGGGGTTATGTTCCCAGAAGGCCTGCCCTCCCCCCCTCCCCACCCACCTCACGAGGTGTTGGCCAATCGCCCTGGCGGGCATAAAGTGGCTGCCAGCCCGCAAGGCTCCCAGCCAGGAGGTGTCACCCCCAGCAGGCGCCGGCCAGAGCTCGGGCACCCAGCATGCGGGCACAGCTTATGTGGAGGACGCTGCCCAGTAAGTACTTCCTTCCTCTCCACCAGCACCCCGCTTGCTCTGCCCATGGGTGCCAGCGTGGTGCAGGGGCACCTTCTGTCCATCGGGAGCTGGGAAGGCCGGGCGCCAGAAGGATGCTGAGAAGGGGAGAGAGCCAGGAGGTCAGGCAAAGAAAGTGGTCCACTGAGAACAGAGCATCTTCACAGGGTAAAGAAGGAGAATCCCTGGAAGACTTTTAAGGGGAGGTGATATAGAGGTGACTGTGGGAGCAAAAGAATAAGGGAAGGGGATAGATTGAGGGAGAAGCCAGGGAAGCAGGAGGGAGGTGAGTGACGTGCTGGGTGAGGAGGGATCTGCAGACGCTGAGCAGAAAAGCAGTGTGATGTCTGGAGGGTCAGTGAGGCTTCCTTGTTGCCCTGATCCACAGGGTCTGGGATGGAGAGACACAGTCCGCTAGGCACGGGGACCCTGGAGCCCACACAATCACACAGCACGCCTAGCCACACCCACAGGGTGACACGCACACAGAGCCACATAATGTCATTCAGAGCCCTCAATCTCACCGACCTGGGAGCCTCCACACGCAGTCCGGTGCCCCAGGGTGGACTGGGCACAACGCTTGTGTGTGGCCAGTTTGTTCCTCTCGCCTCATGCAGACCTGGACACACACCCATGAAGACACCCTAGTCCCACGTGCACGCAGCACTCACATGGATCCCCTCCCCGCCCCCCGCCCAAGCCCGGCTGCAGATACCTGGGGAGGTAGTGAGGAGCGCCCTATGGTCTTGGTGCCTGGGTGGCCAGCCCCCCAGCCGTCCCCGGCAGTGTCTTCCCCAAGGGGCTGAACGGTTCTTAGGAACGGAACATGGTGTCACTGCCTTCCGGGCCATTGCGCCACAGGCCCCTTCCGACCACATGGCTGCCGGTGCCTGGGGGTGGGGGTTGGGTGGGTGTGGGGAGGTCGCCAGCAGTAACTATGCTCAACCACCCCCAAGAGTCTGGCTGACAGCATCCCTGGTGGGCCTGACGGAAGTGGCCACTAATGAAGAGAAGAGGAAGGTGCACGAGGTCGAGGACAGTCCTGGCCTTGTGTGAACTGGGCAAGCCCTTCTCCCTCAGTGCCTTGATTTTCCTGTCAGTAGAATGGGGCTATGGTCTAGATGATCCCACACATTCTTTGCAGACAGAACCTTCGGTGGGAAAGGCAGCCTCTTCTGCTTGTACAGACAGAGCTCTAGGCACCGGGCTGCTCCCAGGCTGAGCCCGCCTGTGCAGAGGGCCAGGATCTGTGGCAGGGGAGCCCAGAATCTTGGCCCAGAGGTCTTGCAGAGAGCAGCCTCGCTTGGGCTGCCCTGTGTCAGATCCCGAGGCTGGCAAGATTGGCAGGCGCGGGAACTCCTCTCAAGGGCCTGCTTGGTGAAGCAGAACTATTGTTAGGGATGCTGGGCTGTGACTTGCCAGGGAGGTGGCGGTGGCCCCAGCAGGTGTGTACACAGTGCCCAGCCCCACCCTCGATGGCATGAAGCCTGAGCCGATGGGCTATGTCCTCTGAGGCCCTGGGGGTGTCCTCCCCTCTGAAAGCCACTGACCTCCTTCCCCAAATCAGGTGACATCTTCCCCCCTTCTCTGCCCCAGGTCTGGTCCTCGGACTTCTGTTCTTGAGCACGCCGGTCATGGGCAGCTGTCTGGACAAGGACCAAGAGCTGCTCAGGCAGCTCCAGAAGCAGGCGGACATCATGCAGCGAACCAGCATGCTCCTGAACCCCTATGTGAGCGCCTGGCCCCTGGTGGCATCTGAGTCTCAGAGGACAGCAGGCCTGGGGCATGAGTGAGCCTGGAGAGGATGAGGCCCAACTCCCATTCACGCAACCCCCACTCCAGATGGGGCCGGTGGGGAAACCAAGTCCCTGTGTTATTCCAGGGCCCCTTGGACCTCTCTGGGCCTGATTCTGAAACACCAAAGAGAGGAGAGATCTTTCCCAGCTTGTCCCATTCCTCAGGGGTAGCAGCAGGGACCCAGACAGAGTCCTGTCCTCCTGAAGCCTATGGTTACGCTCCCTGCATCACAGTTACCCCAACCAGCCCCCACCCCCAGCATCCTTCTGTCCCTGCTTGCAGACACTGGGGAGTCCTCACCCCTCTCTGGCCTCAGTTTCTTGATCTGTACAATGGGAGGATTGGATGGGATTGGGTGCATGAGGTCCAGCATTTCAAGGCAGACCAGAGCAGACCTGGGTGTGTGTGTGTGTGTGTGTGTGTGTGTGTGTGTGTGTTGGGGGCTTGAGCACTCACGTCCTGATTCTCTTTTCCCTCCAGATCCAAAGCCAAGGCCTAGACAAGGATGGACTGAAGGAGCACTGCCGGGAGCGCCCAGGGACCTTCCCCAGCAAAGAGGCCCTGCAGCGGCTCAGCAGGCAGGAATTCCTGCGGGCTCTCGACACCATGCTGGACCACGTTCTGCACAGACTGAAGGCCTTGCAGCGAGACATCCCCAAAGCCCAGGACCTGGAGACACTGAATAGGGCAAAGCAGAACATTCGCGGGTTCAAGAACAATATCCACTGCCTGGCCCAGCTGCTTCCAGGCTCATCAGAGACGACTGAGCCCGCTCCAATAGGCCCAGGGACATCTCCGTCGCCCACCCCCACCCCAGACACCTTCCAGCGCAGGCTCGAAGGCTGCAGGTTCCTGCACGGCTATCACCGCTTCATGCACTCCGTGGGGCAGGTGTTTCGAGAGTGGGCGGAGAGCCCGAGTCGGAGCCGGAGACACAGCCCCCGCCGGGGCCTGCGGAAGGGGACCCGCAGAGTGCCACTCTCCAGGAACAAGAGACTCCTGCCCAGGGTTCAGCTGCCCTGGTAGTCTTAGGGGACACCCCCGGCAGAGAAAGGATCCGTATGTACTCCCTAGGATGGCATCTCCCCCCAGGGCCTCCAAACCTGCTCCCCTCTGTTCCCCACCTCCCAGAAGTGCACTTTAAGGGTTGGGAGCCAGGCTCCGGGATGGGAGGGTAGGGTCAGGCTATTGAGCCCCCAGCCCTGAATTCGTCAGTCTTGGTGGGGTGGCTGGGTCAGGCCACGCGGGGCCAACTTTCCATTGATTCAGGGGTCTGATGACACAGGCTGACTCATGGCCAGACTGACTGCCCCCCCGCCGCTCTGCTCCCCAAGGCCTGCTGGCCCTTCCCTCTCATGACTTACAGAATCGTTGCCCCCAGACTTCCTCCTTTCCATGGCAGCATGGTTCTGAGGGGAAGGTTAGGGCCTGAGCTGGCCTCCGAAGGCTCATTGCCATTCTCAGGCCAGACACCTGGACATCTGGGTGACCTCACTTTAGGCAGCTGTGACAGATGCAGAGTGTCTTAGAAGGAGCACTGATCTGGGGGCGGGGGTGTCCAAGAACAGGGCTCAGTTCCCAGCTCAACCCCTAACTCACTGTGTGGCCTCAGGCAGGCCACTTTACCTCTCTGGACCTCAGTTTTATTTTTTGTGATTCAAGCGGTTGGTGTAAAGCCCTCTCCGCTTGATTCAATAACATAGAGCAAATATCCAATGCCTTGCAAATGGGCAGGGCCTGGAGTTCTCTATAGACCTACTGCCTGGAGGGCCTGGTTTTGGGTCCCGCCTGCTGGCTGCGCCCCCTGGTGGTGCATCATTAAAATTTCTCATGCTGAAACTGGTTCTGGAGGGATGCCCAGAAGGTGCTGGCCCAATTCTTTGGAGGGATATGACTAATTTATCGATTTTTATCAGTTTTTATCTGTTTACTATTTATAAGGCTTATTTATGATGTGTATTTAATGTTAATATTGTGCCAACATATATTTAAAAAACTTGCCTTTTTCTAAAGCCCTTGTGTCTCTCTGTTGTCTGGTGGGAAAGGATTTGGGGGAGCCTGGCCTTTTGGAGAGACAGGGGCTCTGACTGTGGGGTGTCTCAAACACAGACAGAGCATTTAGCCCCTCTGAACGTGACTCCCCTGAGATGCTAGGAGCTAGGGATATCGAGGTTTCGGAGCAAGAGGGAAAGGAGGAAGGCTGGAGCTGTGGGCCCCTGTGCGTGTCTGGCTGGGAGTCCATGTGCTGATGTGGTTTCCATGAAATAGACAAGATACTAACAGATCCTGCCTTAGACACGGCCTGTGACCTGCTCTGTCCTTGAACCTGCTTCTTGAGGGGCCCCAGGGGGTAGGAATTCCACCAGGCCACCAGAAAACTGGGCTCCCTCCTGATGCTCAGAGCTCCGCCTTTTCTTTAATCTTGAAATTTCTTAATGCATGAAAAGAACATTCCCTGAAACAGAACAAGTATTGACTTAATACTGAAGCACTATATAAAGGAGCCCCCTTCCCACTTAGTAAATAGGGATACAGTATAAACATCTGTGAAAGAAAGTGGACCCTTGAGGATTAAATGCAAACCCTAAAATTGTGCACAATAGGACATTGTGTACATGCCGATGAAAGCTAAGGCAGCAGCTACAAAGGAAGAGCTAATAGAAGTGGATGAACTTGACCTGGATCCATCCCTGGGCACCCCACCTCCTGGGACTGGGGGCCAAGATGGAACAGGACTTAACATCAGGGGTGGAGGAAAGCCTCATGCAGGTCTCTCTACAATAGATACGATCCACTTTGCAGATGAGAAGACTGAGACTTAGGGAGACTACAGGGAGGCCAGGCGTATGTTGAATTCAGGTCCTTTAGATGCAGGGCGGAGCAACTTCTGTTACACTCCAGCCTCTGTACTTGGCCAACAATGTCACTGAGTCCCTGAGGGCACAGAGCTCTCAGGCTGGGGGGCCGACAGGCAACAGACACGTAGAACCAACAGGACATTGCAGCGTGAGTTCAGCAAAAACCAACACAGGGTGATAGAACCGAGTGAGAGACCCAGGCAATAGGGGTGGTCAGTGTGGCATCTGGAGGAGGTGAAGCCTCTCCATCTACTCTGAAATCCAGAATGACACACTGGAGAAGGGGCGGGGCTTGCAGGTGGTGGGAACAGCTAAAGCAAAGGCTCCAAGCATTCAAGGATCAGCATAAAGTAAGTGGCGGGCATGGCTGATTTATCAAAACGGCCCAGAGAAGGGAAGTGTCTTACTCAAGATCACAGAGGGAACTCCCGTGCAGAACTCCACGCCTGGACTTGCAACCGACAGGCTTCCAGGGCAGTGCCCAGTGTTCCAGGTGATTGACCAAGTACCTGGTGAGAGCTTCCCACTGTCCCCCACTGGGCTGTCCCTCGCTTTCAAGGCTCCTGCCACACAGGCCACCTTTTGGCTCCCAATATGCCCAAGGCTCCCTCCTACCAAGAGACCTCTGCCTATGCTGTTCCCTCTGTCTGGAACAGTGTTCCCTGTCATTCTGATCAGCACCTCCTTGGGTGTTCTTCCCTATCACCCATGGTCTGGGTCCAGCAACTTGGTTTATTTGTTCTCTGAAAACTGTCTTATTGACAAGCCCTCCCCCACTGTGGTGTTTTACCCTCTGCCTCCCCTGCTGGCCTGAAACCTGCCAAGGATGGGTATGGTGTCTGCTTCCTTCTGCTCCAACATAGCACCCGGCTCGGTGCCTGCACCCAGGAGGAGCTCAGTGAAGAGCAGGGCAGGTGGGGCCCTGGAGGGAGTCAGAAAGCTGAGCAGCACATCCTGCCCCAGCATGGGGGTGGGGGCCTTTCCTGAGGCTGAGCTGCTGGGAAGCTGTGGGTGGGAGGCAGCAGACATTGAGCCAAACTCTCTCAGGTTCTCGGAGCGGAAGGGGAGTTGAGGCTGCGGCAGGTTGTGCTGTTGCCCACGGAATGAGCAGAGGTTGGTCTGTGGAGGAAGAGCCGGGAAGCCCAGGGTGGCTGCCCCCGCCCCCCTGCCTGGGCCCCTTGCCAGCCCTCTACTCTGTGGATAAGCCCCAGGAGAGGTGTCTGGCTTTGAGTTGCACCAGCACCCACCCCGTAGGAAGCAGATGAGGGAGCTCCAGAATCTGGGGAGGGAGTCTCAGGGGTTCCACCTCCGAGGACTTGTTCCCTCCATGCTGTCCCCTGCTGAGACCGCAGCTGCAGGTGCCCCCAAACTGCTGTCTCCAGCCTGGTGCTCTCCCAAGTCTACAGGCCCAATTGCTAGGAACTGTGAGCTGGGAGCCCTGTGGATACCTCAAGGCCAAGGTCACCCCCACCCCACACCTGATTTCTGCCTTCTATTTGCCCCCACAGAAGTTCCAGAACCTCTGTCCTCACCTTCTCCTCTCTTAGCCTCTCCTCTCCCCATTGATCACAATGTCCCAGGGTTTCTTCCACAGCCTGTCTCAGGCACATGCCTGATTCTCTCCCGACAGCCAGCCAGGTCCTGGCTCCGTGGACACGGGTCAAAAATCTCACTGCTACCTTCTCTTCTGCTCAGAAGCCTTTGGGGACTCCCATCTGTCCTTTGGCTGCGGTACCAATTGCAAACCCCAGGCCCCCGCTCTCTGGCCTCCATGACCTTCACTGTCTACCATGATCCATCTGGTTCTTTTCCCTCTTTCTTGAGGGATGAGAAAATACTTGAAGGTCAAGCAAAATGAGTTCAAACCCCACCCACCCTGCCCTTAAACCTGTGTGACCACCCAAGCCAAGCCTCAGCTTTACCCTCTGTACAATGGGCTAACTTGGCTCACCTCCCTGGCTGTAAGATTTCCCGGGAGACAAGACACACACACACACACACACACACACACACGCACGCACGCACGCACGCGCGCGCAGCACTGTTTCAGCGTTATCATAAACTGTCGCTGAGTAGGTGCACAAGCAACATTCTCTTTATTTTTTCTCCCTCATTTTCTCTTCCTTATTGGTTTTCTTCACAACTCCTCTCTCTCTGCCCCTGTCCCCCTGCCCTCCTCCCCTCCACACCAGGCCTGGGACCCAGATTGCACACAGAACCCCTTTTCCATGCTAAGGCAAGGCTCACAGTCCACGATCAGCACTGGGGAGGCCTTCCGCTTGGCCAGCCCCACTCCCTCCTTCCTGGGGCGGCCCCAAGGGCTGGGCTCTGCTCCCTGGTGCGGGGAGGGGCGAAGGTCTCCCAGGGACGTGGGTTGGGCAGGTGGGGCCCTGGAGCCTGTGGAGGAGGGCCAACCAGATGGGACAGGTGACTCCAGGGTTCTGAGGTGGGTGCCGGGACAGCGCGGGGTGGCTTGGGGGGACCTGCGCCCCGGGGGAGGGGAAGGGTGGCTACAGCCCTGTGACTCTCCTGGGGACGGGGACAAGGGGCATGGCCCTGGTGCACACGGCTTGTGGCAGGTCTGAGTCAAAACACCTAAGGCCGACCCCGGCCGGTCATGCGGAGGGCTGCTCAGTCATCGCCTTATGCTGGCCTGGGTCACCCAGGCAGGCTGGGCGCGGCCCAGTCAGTTGTGACTCAGGTCCCAGCGGCCTTGCCACGCAGTGCTGGGCAGGGGTGCTGGGCACAGGGTCGCCCCCTCCCCACCCCCAGCCCCACTTTACCCCTCGGCCACCCCGAAGACCCTGCCCCACCTGTCAGGCGCAGGCTAGCCAGGAGCCTGGGGTTCTCTGCCCCTGTTGCACCCAGCCCTTCCGCCAGGGGGTGGGGTGGAAGTGGGGGGAGCCTCAGGGCCACCCGGCACTTGACGGGAAGTCAAGTGGGGGGCAGTGTGAGGAGCTGTCTCCAGAGAAGATTCAGCAGGAGAGGGAAGCAGAGGGGTGCTGGCCCTGAAGTCGATGGTGTCCTACTGAAGACCCAGAAAACACCTGCGAGACTCCAGAGGGTCCTGCACGGGCGCAGAGCACGGTAAGCCTCCCTGACGGGGCAGGGCTTATCCTCAGTACTGGCAAATCCTCCAATGGCTGGGGGGGTACCTAGTGACCCCCA